CAGTGGTCTGTTTTTCATCTCTCTAGGAATATAATAATGTATTTTCTTTCTTTCTTTCTTTCTTTCTCTCTCTCTCTCTCTCTCTCTCTCTCTCTCTCTCTCTCTTTCTTTCTTTCTTTCTTTCACCTGTAAGGAGATTGCAACCCTCGGCAGGGTGTTGTCTGCACCACGCTCAGCCAGTGAGCGCACCAGCCATCCCTATATAGGATCCAAACCCGCGGCCTTAGCACTACCAGTGCCGCACTCTCCCGAGTGAGCCACGGGGCCAACCCATAATGTATTTTCTTAAACATTTTACTCTTCCCACATTAAAACTCTGAATGAACAGAAAGATTTGACCCCTTCTTTTTCCTTTCTTAATGAATTTAATCAAATTATAAAAATGGAGAGTCATACATGGTTGAGTTGTCTAATACTTTTTCTGTCATGGAGTGATCACATTTGAAACCTGGGTTCCTCTACTGTCAGAGAACCCTTTGGTCACAAAATTCATGATGAATTTCTCCTTTGTAGCCCCAGAGGGCTCAGCGATTGGATTTCTCAGTGCCTCAGTCACAAAATGCAAAGATCCCCAGCTCTTTGCAAAGTGAGACCCGTATTCCATCTCCTGTAGGGTCTGGGCTGTCAATACGCAGGGGCTGCACAATTATATTACACTTGAGCCACATTAGCAATTCCTGGAAAATGGCAAGAGATTTTGCTACCATCACCTGTAGCCATATGGGATATCCTTATAGCTTATTTGACCTGAGAGAGCTTGAAACTTGAAGCAGAGGATGAAAATCATAACATACACAACCAATACTACCTGGAAGCCATGTGCTCCAGTTGAGAATGGACCTAGGGAAGAGGGTACCCATCATCTGCTATAGGGAGAGGACACTCAGAGTCACTGTGAAGTCATGGAAGGTGCCAGGAATGTCTCACCCCAGAAAAGAGGCTTTACAAAGTATAAAATGGGCTTGAACCAATTTATCTTAAGATCAAAATGGGAAAATTTAGTGTCATCTATATGACTGTGACCCTTCTGATCCCTCACACTGATGTGGCAAGGGAACTTAGAGAAAACTTTTGAGCACAGCTCTTCCCAGATTGTTATTATCCAGGAGAAAGTAAAGGGAAACAGAGACAGGTAAAATGCTCCATTGGGGGTTCTTTTGTCTGTGCTCCCCAGCGGGATCCTGTCATCTTTCTACAGATACTAAAATTATAGGCCTGCAGAGAGATGAGCTAACACCATCCTTTTTTAAAAACTGTGGGTTCTTCTCAAGTGCACTGATCTCCCCACACGTGCATCTGGGTAAGTGCCTCTTTACTCCACAGATGTAGAATCAGTGCACTAGTGGGGCTTCTATGCAGAGATTGGAAGGGGGCAAACTTCCATTGTGAAGGTTTCTGGTAGCCTCAGATTAGACATCCAGCTCTAACAGTTCTACACAGCTCAGGGGATTGTTTGCTGTATAATATAATAGGGAAATTTCCTTCTTAGTACATTTTTTCTTTAATGTGGTGACTCATAAAAATTAGTCCTCTTTCGCATAAAATACTCAATTAGTTTTAGATTCCCATTCGTTTGTTTGAATGACTGATTTTCTCGCTATATCAATTCTCAAAGTACATATTATCATATTGTCTAGTTATTTTACCCTAAAGCATTCCTAATTTATATTCATAGTCATCAGGAAGGAATAAGTTTTAACTCTAGGTTTTTAATAAATATACTGTTTGTTTCTCTTTTATTCATGTATCAATTAAAAATATTACCTAATAAATTATATCTAGAAGTTTGGGTTAATTAAAAATAATTTTACATTTTTAGAAGGAAAGTTTTTTTGTTCAAAACAATGTCTTATAAAAAAAATGTAACCTCACATTCTTACAAAGCATTTGCCAGTGTTTTCTCATGTAGACCTTTCTCATCCCAGTTTTAATTTCACAAAGTAGCCCTTAAACCCATGCTCAGTTAGGAAGTTTCAAGTCACAGAACAGTGGAATGAGGTTCAATTACTTTGAAAAGAAAGAAAACAAAATGATGATAACTATTATTTCCCCTTTCTGCCTCCAAAAGACATAAGAATATAATTTCCCAGAACTTGGGCATGAGAAATACTATTTGTATCCCTTTGAATTTCCCATATCATATTCATTGTAAAAATACTCCTTCCTTTTCGATGATAGTGGATGTGCCTGAACCCATTTTGGTAACAGGAATATGGGAGGCAAGTTAAACCCCATCAATGAACAAATAGATGTGAACAACTTTCCCTTTGCTATTGCTAAGACACAAAGAATATGCTGAAAAGCAACTGCAAGCTGTTTAGTGAGAAAGGGACGCTTAGCTCTTATTTCTTCACTGGGTCGATCAGGGAAACAGACTCTCCTGCAGGACTGTTCGGGCTGTGACAAGACTCCGGAGAGTCATGTTTCTTTACTATAGAATTTGTCCTTTCTCCTCTCCTGATTTTATCACCAA